GAGCAGCCATCTAAGATACTCCACTGGTCTCATCCCTTCAGGAGCAAGGGAGAATGAAGAGAACAGGATACAAGGAAAAGATTAGTCCGAAGGACTGATGGTCCACAGCCACCAAGGCCTCCACTGGACTGAGTCCTGTACAGCTAGATGGTGCCCGGCTACCACTACTGACTGCTCTGACCAGGATCACAACAAAATTTAGATGTATAAAATTTAGATGTATAAATAAAACTGTTCTGTAAAAAACAGTTATATAAAGAGCAAATTATTACTTGCTAATACAAATTCAATTATTTCCATATTCTATTGTCAACTAAAATAATTGGTTAATTTAAACTGAAGGCTTCTTGGTATCTTCTTTGCTTCCTTTCATACGGGCCAATCCTCAACCAATTGTTTTGTCACTAGCAGAGAGGAGAGCATAACATCTGACCTAACCAAAATATGACTCTCCTTCGCTTCTATTCTAGGTGAACTCCATCTGGTGGACTTCAGGTTTGTGGGATGGGTAACCGAGAGAGAAAACCCAAAAACCAAACCCACTACCGTCAAGTCAATTCTGACTCATAGGGATCCTATAGGGCAAAGTAGAACGGCCCCAAAGGGTTTCCAAGACTATAATCTTTAGCAGACTGCCATATCTTTCTCCCACGGAGCAGCTGGTTGGTTCGAACTGCCGACCTTTCAGTCAGCAGCTAAGTGCTTAACCACTGCGCCACCAGGGCTCCTTAACCAAGGGAGAAGAGGGCAGCAATAATAGTAGCACCACCACTGAGCAGTTAAAGTTCTTCGTTTATTAAAGGAAATTGTGGTGACTCTCATGATACACAGACACTCAAAGCCCTCTGGTATAATCCTGATTTCCTGAATATTTTTGACATTTTGTCATACAAATGTGATATTTGAGTCTCACGAATTCCAGGTAACTTGTATCTATTCTAGATGCTGAGTAAATTTGCTGAATGAGAACCATCTAATACGACTTTTCGTAAGGGGAGCTGTGGGCGGATGCCTTGATAAACACCACCTTTGCGCTAAGTGGTACCACTTCAGTTTCTGATAACGAAGTCAGCTGATATCACTGACACAAAATCTTACCTAGAAAATCTAAGACCACTGCGAATATTGATAGTATTTACTCAGTTTCTCCCCTGTAAGATTTTCCTGTAAGAAGGTCATGGCAAAGGAAGGAGCCAACCACACAACGATGCTAACACTACCATAAATCTGCTGCCAATGAGTCGATGTCGACTCATAGTGTACTATAGACAGTAATAACACAGTATACGGTTTTAGAATACATCTTTCTGAAATCCACCTTCGTAATTTTATTTTCTGCTCATAGCAGTAATTTTCAGAAGTCACATTTCAAAAACAAAAATGACAAGACATAGGTTAATTTTCTAATCCATCAGAGTTTACGCCCACTCCTGAAGACAGTTTTATTGTAGAGGCTACTGTGACTTTAATCAAATATTTAAAATGTTCTCAGCGGTTGGTAAAAGGATTGTAGTGTATGTGCAATCCCCCCTGGGGGTGTCTCTTCAAGAGAGAAAGACTGAATCTTCTTAAATATCTAATTAAATAATTTCAGCTTTCCTGTAGAATGACCTTTAATCAGATCTCAAGCCCCCACAAGCTCTCCATCAGTCGGCCCTCCTCTGCATTGCCTCCTGCATCAACCTCTACTTGCCTTATTTATTCTAGTCATTTAACCTTTGTTCTTCTCGAAATCAGCCCCCTTTTGGGAAACATATTTCTACCCTCATTAGGTAGGCAACTGAATAAAAGCAGGAATGAGGTGATTTTTTTAAGATGATTGTTCACAAAGAAGTTATGCATCCTTTAATATACGTATCATATAAAGCAATTTTTAATCATTCTTTATATAACAAAATAAATGACTGGACAGGAAGTGTCTAGCATATGTACGTATAAAAAAAAAAAACCTAACTCATTGCTGTTGAGTTGATTCCAACTCATGGCGACCCCATGTGTCCCTATGTGTGTCAGGGTAAAAACTGTACTCCAAAGGATGTTCAATGGCTATAATCTTTTGGAAGGAGATCACCAGGCCTTTCTTCTTCAGTGCTGCTGGGTAGATTTGAACTGCCAACCTTTCAGATAGCAGTGGAGTATAAACCATTTGGGCCACCCAGGAACCTGCCTAACATATAGTAGTTGTTTAAAGAGTGAATAACTCATTTGTTGAAGGAGCAAATAAATGCATGAAAGAATAGGAGATTTTCAGAAGGAGCTAGTTATTAGTCAAATCAAGTGATAAAATCTCCCCAAATTTCTACTTGACTCTTTGGTCATGAGAAAGGAGAGAAAAGAAAAGGGCTAGCAGAAATATGGCATACTCTGGATACTACTGAAGTGGAGCAAATATGGTCATGACTGGAAAGGCTTAAACCTCACTGTTATGGGTTGAATTGTGTCCCCCAAAATATGTATTGAAATCCTGGCACCTAGACTCATAAATAAATGGAGAAAACATTGAAGTTGTAAAGGATTTCATTTTACGTGGATCCACAATCAATGCCCATGGAAACATCAGTTGAGAAATCAAACGACACATTGCATTGGGCAAATTTGCTGCAAAAGATCTCTTTAGAGTGTTAAAAAGCAAAGATGTCACTTTAAGGACTAAGGTGCCCCTGATCCAAGCCATGGTGTTTTCCATCACCTCATATGCATGCGAAAGCTGGACAATGAATAAGAAGACCAAAGAATTGATGCCTTTAAATTATGGTGTTGGCGAAGAATATTGAATATACCACGAGCTGCCAAAAGAAGGAGCAAATCTGTCTTAGAAAAATTACAGCAATCGTTGTTGGTTACTGTCATGGATTGAATTATGTCCCCCCAAAAATGTGTGTATCAGTTTGGCTGGGCCATGATTCCTGGTATTGTGTGATTTTCCTGTATGTTGTAAATCCTGCCTCTATGATCTTAATGAGGGAGGATGGGTGGCAGTTGTGTTAGCGAGGCAGGACTCAACCTACAAGATTGGGTTGTGTCCTGAAGCAATCTCTTGAGATACAAAAGACAGAAGTGAGTAGAGAGACGGGGGGACCTCATACCATCAAGAAAGCAGTGCCGGGAGCAGAGGGCATCCTTTTGACCGGGGGTCCCTGCGCCAAGAAGCTCCTATTCCGGGGGGAACACTGATGAGAAGGCCAACAGAGAAAGAAAGACTTCCCCTGGAGCTGACACTGTGAATTTGGACTCTTAGCTTACTTTACTGCAAGGAAATAAACTTTTCTTTGTTAAAACCATCCACTCATGGTATTTCTGTTATAGCAGCACTAGATGACTAAGACAGTTACTGAGAGATGGGAGGGTTTGGGAGGAATACTAAATAGACAATAGATAAGTGGTAACTTTGGTGAAGGGTAAGACAGTACACAATACCGGGGAAGCCAGCACAACTTGTACAAGAAAAGGCCATGGAAGCTCCACAGACACATCCAAACTTCCTGAGGGACTGAATTGCTCGGAGGAGGGCTGTGGGGACCATGGTCTTGGGGATCATCCAAGTTCAATTGGCATAATACAGTATATAAAGAAAATGTCCTACATTCTATGTTGGTGAGTAGCGTCTGGTGTCTTAAAAGCCCGTGAGCAGCCATCTAAGATACTCCACTGGGCTCATCCCTTCGGGAGCAAGGGAGAATGAAGAAAACAAGATACAAGGAAAAGATTAGTCCAAAGGACTAATAGACCACAACTACCACGGTCTCCACCAGACTGAGTCCAGTACAACTAGATGGTGCCTGGTTACCACTACTGACTGCTCTGATCAGGATCACAACAGAGGGTCTCAGACAGAGCTGGAGAAAAACGTAGAACAAAATTCTAACTTACAAAAAAAGACCAGACTTAGAACCTGACAGAGACAGGAGAAACCCCGAGAGTATGGCCCCCGGACACCCTTTTAGCTCAGTAATGAAGTCACTCCCAAGGATCACCATTCAGCCAAAGATTTGACAGTCCCATAAAACAAAATGAGACTAATGGGGCACAACAGTCCAGGGACAAGAACTAGAAAGCAGGAGGGGACAGGAAAGCTGGTAATAGGGAACCCAACGTTGAGAAGGGACAGTGTTGACATGTTGTGGGGTTGTTAACCATTGTCATAAAACAATATGTGTACTAACTGTTTAATGAGAAACTATTTGTTCTGTAAACCTTCATCTAAAGTACAATTAAAAAAAAAAATAAAGATTACAGCCAGAATGCTCACTGGAAACAAGGATGGCAAGACTTTGTCTCACATACTTTGGACAGTTTATCAAGAGTGACCAGTCCCTGGAGAAGGACATCATGCTTGATAAAGTAGAGGGTCATCAAAAAAGAGGAAGACCCTCAAGG